TTACAGGAAATAGACAGGTATGACTGGCCAGAGTCCTGGTAGGGTGTTGGGGGGCCCCCAATCTCTCCCCTCCACAGTTTGGCCTGAAGCATCAGCCCCTTTGCTGGTGGAGTCTGTCCCCTCAGTGAGAGGCAGCGCCCTGACCCAGGGGAGCCGGGTGCTGCCTCGCGTTGTCTTGCCCCCCGGACAGGGCAGGAGAAAGTCGGGTTTGCCAGATGGGATCAGGCCTGTCCCCAGCCAGAGGTTCCTGAGCAAGGTGAACTCCCCCCATAATGCAACTGGTCACCCATGCAGTGTTGGGCCCGGGCTGTCTCCTGGGGCGAGGGCACAGGCTGGCGTGCGTCATTGACAGCGCTGGTTAGTTCTTGCCATGTGTGGGCTGCTGCCCGTCCTTGGCAGTGCCCAGCAGAGGGTGGCACCCCCCCACAGCGACTGGCACGGGGAGCATGGACGCAGCTGTGCCAACAGCAATGCAGCCTTCCCGCCACAGCCCCTCCCCAGGCACTGCCCAGCTCAGCCAGCACTGAGCTCGAGGGTCTCTGGTTGTCTGGGTCCCCACTGTAACCCCACCGCTCTGCTTCATGTTGCACAGGCATCGCTGCCATCTGCATCGAGGACAGTGAGGGTGGCAAGTGGATCCAGGAGCATTACAAGTGTTCACAGTGTGTCCCCCAGCACCTGATGCCCCAATTCAACAGGCACCAGCTGTAGTCCTTCCAGGCCTTTGGGGCCACGCCTGGCCAGGCATAATTAATGGGATCTCCTGCTCTGCAGCTGAGCCTTGCACCAAGGTGCCCGGGACCACGTGCTCCATGGCCCGTGGGTTGTCCCTGCTCCCAGAGGCCGGGAGGGGTCACAGCTTCCAGAAGAGCTGCTTCCCCTCCCCCACCCCAGTCTAATCCAATTAAGCCATGTAACCCTTACTAATCACGGATGTCCTCCTGCGCCCTCCAGAATGGCTGCATCACGTGGGCAAGGACAGTGCTCAGACACCAGCTGCGCCCCTGCGTCTGGGGAGCAATCTCACCACTTGCTGCTGCGTATCAAACCTGCCCCACGCTGGCCCCCACCTCTGCCAACACCCCCCACCCAGCTGCTGCCCTGGGGAGCCCTAGGTCGCCTCCCTGAAGTCTGTTACTCCCTGAGAGCAGAAGGAAATCTTGGTCTGGGCATGGCCCAGCTCCCTGCTGGCAGCGCCCCCAGCGTCTGTCTGAAATCAGGCACGCTGCTCCTTCTTCCTCTGGCTGGCTGGGCGCTCAGCTGCTGTGCGCTCAGTGTGCTGGGGGGATGGGGCTGCAGCCCTAAGCTGCTTCCTCCTTGTTCTAATGCCCCTCCCCCCCCCCCCCCCCCCCCCGAGCAGCTCCCACCCTGTCGAGGCGTCACAGAATGCTTCGCACCCTCGCTCCCAGAGGAAATCCGGCCAGCACTGGTCCCCACACCCCCAATCACTGGGTATTTTCTTTTTTTTAAAAAAGCGTAGAAATTCGGCTTTATTACATAGCGTCAGCGCCAGGAGACCTCTCCCCTTTGTTGATTACACACTGATTTGCATAGTTAACGAGCTTGTGCAGTCTCTTCCCTTTCTCTGCAGGCAGCAGGGTCTGGGGCAAGTCCCAGGCTACTGCTCCAGCTGCTTCCTGACTCTTGTTGCAGTAGGTGGGCAGGACGCTGCCTGGCTCCGCGGCCGGCTCCTGGCAGCATTAACACCAGCGGAGCGAAAGCAGGGCAGCGCCCTGCCCAGCCAGCCCCAGCCACGAGGCCAGCAGGGGACAGGGCCGGGGCACGCAGAGACCACGCTCTGCCCTAGCCCGGGAGGGAGGGGGGATTCCTGTCCCAGCCAGGAGGGGGGCACTGCAGGGCACAGAACGGAGGGGTGCTCAGCTGCCTCCATCGCTCACCTGGCCGGTCAGGGCAAGGAGCGGTGCCGGCAGCTCTTCCCAACGCCTGGCTGCTGCCTGTGCTTCAGCCCAGCCCCAGCCCAGGAGCTGGAGCCAGGCCGTGGTTCCCAGCTGCCCCGGCCCAGGGCGCAGAGGGAAGGAATAGTTCTGGGTGAGCAGGGTGAGCGGCGGGGGCAGGAGCTGAGCCGGGGGGAGGGATCTCCGCTGAGCAGGCACCAGCCCCCGCAGGCCCACAGCTGGGATCCGCCAGCAGCTCTTTGGTAGCGAAGAGAGTTCGGTGCACGCAGCGGGGCGGGGCTGGCGTCCCCCGTCAGCGGCAGCACTTGGATTTCCTCCTCTGCGCCGTCAGGTACAGGTCGCTGTCCGTGCTGTGAATCCCTAGGAAAGCAGCACACGTGGGATCCCGGGAAGTACAGTGAGCGCCCCAGCCCCCTCCAGTGCCACGGAGACCTTCGCCCGGGCTGCCAGCTCCAAGCCTGCCGGGGTCGGGAGTGCCACCAGCTGTTCCCAGCCCCCCACTCGCGGCTCCCGTGGGAAGCCTAGGGGACTGGCCCTTGCTGCAGCTCAGCAGAGGGGCCGGGGCTGCGCTCTCCCCCAGAGCCGGAGGGTCCCCCTAGGGCAGCGCCCGGCGGGTTGCAGGGCGTGGGGGAGGAGCCCTGCCCCGCCCCTGCTCTGTGGTTACCTAGCGGAGCCAGCCCAGCGCTAGATGCCCCCGGGCGTCAGATCAATGTACAGTGGTGGTGCTGGCTGGGATCCCAGCGGCCGCGAGGTGGATACTCACGCACGACGTCCCCGATCTTCCTGGCGCTGCTCTTCTCCAGCTCGGCCAGCACGCTGGTCTCGAAGGTCAGCGAGGCCACGCGGAAAAAAAACTCCCTCACGTTCTCCCCTGCCCAGAGAGCCGACAGTGACCCCTCCGTCCCTGGCTCCCAGCCCCGGGGATGTGCCAGTGCTGGGACCGTACTCTGGGGTACACCGAGCCGTGGGCAGCTGCGTGGTCACCGCCTGCCAGCAGTGAGCCGTGCCCGGGGCGATGCCCACAGCGGGGCAGAGGGCGCTCGGTGTCTGAGGCTGGCACAGGCATGAGTGTGCTGAGGGGAGGTCTGGGGGCAGGAATGCAGAACGTGGGGGTGGGGGGCAAAGGGTGGTCAGACCCCTCAACAGTGATGCCAGCTGGGAAAACTGGGCTATGCTTCAGCCCTGGGGGCACCAGGCTTCCACTCTAGGGGGCCGAGAGAGGCAGCAGCCAGGGGCACCTCTCCCCTCTGACCCCCCCTCATCACAGCCTGCCCCGGCACTCACCGGTGAGCGAGGAGACAGCCCAGTACTCCGCCCGCATCTCCTTGGCCACCTTGATGGCGTCTCTCTCCATGAGGCTGTACTGTGCGGGCGGCTGCGGGAGGAGACAGGAGGTCACCGCCTGGGACCAGCCCCATGGCAGGGGCCCGTGGGGTGCTGGGGGGACGGCTCCTGGGGGCTGGCTGGGACAGACAGGGGGATGGAAGGCAGCTCCATGGCCTAGATCGACCCCAGGGCTCTGTCCTAGGGAGTTTGCTGAGTCGAGCCCCCCAGGACAATGAGGGGTGGCCCCAGGCTCTCCCCGGCAAGCGCCATTCAGCTTGGGGGGGCTGGGACCCACACTCACACTCAGATCCTTCTTCGAGCCCACCAGGAAGAGGATCAC